ACATTGGATGCTGACCCTTAGAGTTTAAGTCGACTTGTTTAGCTGAAGGCTTTCGGTCAAGCATCCCCACCATTTGGTACTCCGTCGTGTTACGTTCGTGCACGATAATTAGCCAGCTAAGCGTTCGTCTAACAACTTGTTTAAGTCCCGAAATATATCGCGTAATTTGGACGATCAAATACTGTCTTTTGCTTTGCCTTTGGTACGTGAGATTCAAATACATTGGATGTCGTTGGTATAAGAGCTTGCGTTAATATACCCAGTACTGTTCGCGAACGTCTATACCGTCAACCTCTAAAATGTAAAGAAGGGCGAGGGCTTAATAATATCTGTTTTTCTGAATTAGTATCATTTGTCATCTATCTACTGGTTACTTTGTTTGTGTCCGGACGTCTTCTACTTGTATCATCAACCTGAGGAGGATTGTGGGCTTGCTGCTGTAAGTCATACAGTTCTTCAAGGGTAGTTTGTCATGCCGGAATCCACAACATTTGATGTATTGATTGTACATATGTTTGTGTTAAATAGTTGTGTGAGTTCCAATTGATGTAATTGTTGGTTAATCTTGTTTGTGTCCGGACATTCCACAACTTACAATCGTCAACCTGTGAAGATTTGTAGGCGTACTGGTGTAGGTCATGCAATTCTTCAAAATAATTCCACCAAGACATGATCCGCGAGGTTATTTGTACTGTTTGTGTATACGTGTGGTGTGTCTTCGCAATTTGTGATTTTGGATCAGTTGTGTTTACTCGTTGTTTTCGTGCCTTGTTTTTATTGCATAATTTTGTTAAAATTTTCGTCGTGCTACTTCTGAAGTTTTTTCGAGTCTTCTACAACCGTGAATGAATTGATTGGTGTTAGAGACAGCAGATGGGTCGTATACGCCGGGGAGGCTATTGCTGAGTATGATATGTACATAGAGATAAGGATTAGCTGTGGAATCAATGATTGAGAATGAATGTTTCTATTTAGGCAGTGGTCCCACACGCCGGGGAGCAATAGCGTAGTCGACTGAGGCTTGCATACGCCGCCGTTACTAGAACTGAGGCAGAATGAGTGACAAGCGATAGCAGTGGTACTTGGTAGTGAATAGATCAGAGGATGTGCGATGAATATCATTAGGTGCTGCTATTGTCACGTTGCGTTCTGCAAGAGTCATTCTAGCAAGTGGCGATTGTGTTGCAAGATGTCAAGAGGATGTCCTTAACTGGAATGCGTAGGTTGTCGCCGACGAGTGTGATTGTGCTGTGGGCATGCTTGTGGTGTGTTGGCTTTTCTGTTTGTTTTCCATTTCAGCTTTGTGCGTGTGACCCAGGTTGTCGCACTGGCATCCAAGTCAACGTGTATTGGTCGTGATGGAAAAAGGGGATAAATCCATTTTTGCCGGAGAGTGTCAATGGAGTTGAAGATTGAACGATCAACTCATGGTTGTTTACTCAAAACCAACCCCATATTTTTGCGGGAGTCATCGATACTGCAGCCATCGTTCCATCGTTCGCTGTTTGTTGGAAGACCGAAAACTATCAGAAGTATTATTGTGATTAATTGTTCTGAAATTTATTCTTAGACTTTGTGTACAATAACCTAGTGGTTGGGTCTGTATTTGTGCAGGAATAAACGTTTATTGAGTCGCCAATTTGTCTTCTGTTTTTTGCGTTGGTTATTTACGCATAGTTTCTGAAAGTCTTCTAAGGACAGTGTGAAGTCCAGTGTGGTTAGACCTGGACATTGACAAATGTACAGAATGAATGTTCGATACCGCGATTATCTTAGTGGAAACAGATGGAATCAAGTTACTGCCCTTTGGCTAACCTTTGGTCCTAAATTGAGAGCACACCAGTTTATAAAATGTATGGATTATTATTGTTATCATTCCGTAGGCTAATCTTTCAATTCCCCACCGCCTCTCTTCTGTTAGCTTCTATATGTTGATCGATAGTCATTCCTTGTCTTGCCTCTAATTTCTTCCCAAAATGGTTGTACACGTTTCTTTAAACATCATCTTCAGGGATTTTCAGTGTTCCTCCACGCAAGTTCTCTCAGTGATGCTTTGCTTTGATAGCTTAGGTGAAGGTGTATCTTGTAGTTTTGTCTTCTAGTTTCTGAGTGTTGAACTTCCACTGCGTTCCATGTTCATCCGTTTTGAAAGCTCTCAACCTAGTTATAAAGCTTCCTCGCAATAGACAGTGGTCTGAGCTCGACTTTGCACTTCTTTTTGACTTAGTGTCTATCTGGCTGCTTCTCTGATTTCTTGTGACTGCGGTGAAGTCTGTCTAATTTTCAGAGTGAAATCCATGCCACTTAATGTCAGTTCCTGTGCTTGTACATGCCACATTTAATCACCGAATCACTTAATGTACAAAAGTTGGTGAAGGGTTCCCCGTTCTACTTTACATAGCTGAGAGCTTCTTGATCCAATATGAATCCTCCCCAAGTATAGTCTGCCCCAATTTTAAATATCGCTCTTCATGGATTTTTACGGTGATTTGAGATCTTTAATATAAGAATGGAACTTAGGCACTATTGAAGAGCATTTTTCAATTATGGGGTAAATTTTATTTCGATAAAGTCCCAGGGCAATACAGTAAATATTACTGTATAACATTGTGAGACTATCGTCGCAGGTCTTATCCATTACTATCTACAGTTATCGGTTAAATCTTCCTTCTCTTGTTCTGAGCTTTTTATAAGTGCAAAGCATTTAATAGTTGTAACCCTCCCCCCTTTTAAGTTGAGTCCTAATGTCATGATCCTGAAGTGGATAGGTTTACACTGAGCGGGAGCTTTGGGTTATTTTGATGACTTCATAATGGTCTCCCGTTCAGTATGCTTGTGGTTGTCTTGTGGGTGGCCGGAGTGGATTACTACCTCTCCATCTAACAGTTTAGAGAGTCCACATTCGTTTCACCTGCCCCCAAAGATTCCCAGCACTTAAGTGCCTTCTAAGCCTCGCACATCGCGCAAACGTCTCAGGCACTCATGCTTATTCCAGCTTCCACTAAAAGTAGGTGCTCTGGCTGATTGACCTACCAACAGCTTTCACCAGCACCCATCATTCCGTCCCTTTGATCCCAGTGGAGAATAATTTTTCTGCAAGGGCTTAGCCGGTTTTCTGGTAGCAGAGTAACTACCCTCACGCTGAAACTTCCCTCTTTTTCCTGGTTTAGAAAGATCTTCGAAACTAGCGAACTAGGCAACGTTAAATCAGGATAAATGTACCCGAATTCTAGTTGACCGGTCATCTTCAGTATTGAAAGACATATTGGTCACACAGAAAACAGAATCATGGGTGAACTGGAATTTCAACTCATTTATCTCAAAGTATTTGAACAGCCAAGCAACATGTCCTTTACTTCCAGTCCTGTCTTCCCATAAAATGGTGCATTTGACAATTATCTCAACTACTCAGTAACTCGACATAAATGAATTATGGATGGGCAGTACCATTTTCAGCAGTGTTTATAACAGTGCATCGCACGCTGCGTCCATTCATCTTGTATATAACACTTAAAGCTTCTGAGACCGGCAGGCTGTATACTATGGGTAGCCATTGCATAAATATGTCAGTCAAGGGCGAACTTCAAAATGCATCTAGTTCGGAATGCAGTTGCTCAACCTACAGGAATTTTCTTCCATATGAACTTCAGAAATCAGACACCCAATGAGGCACCAAACCTGACTACTAACGAAGACCAGGCAAAAGCAGAAGCAGTTGCAAGTGACTTCTTCAGGGCCTTTATGTAGGAGTCAGCACTCCATATAGCTTTAATTGCAGTCACTTCAGAATAATACAGCATAGACTCTTGGAAAGTCTACGATTCATATTCCATCCTCTAAAGTAAACAGGTGCAGTGAATGCATTGTGGTCTGATGATCCACATCCAGGGCTTCTCAAAGAGCTATGAGCAGACATAGCCAGCCCCTAACCACTATCTTCAAGAAGTCTGTCTTGGATTCAGTGCTACCACGTGAATGGAAAGACACCATAGTGACCTTCATCCACTAAGCAGGACCGACACACTGCTGTTCACACTACAGATCCATAAGCCTCACCAGCGTCTCAGTTAAGAACCTGGAAAGAACCATCAAAAAGGCTATCACGGCATATCTGCAAAACAATTACTTGTTGTCCACAGCACGGCATGACTTCCAAGGAAGCCTCTTGCCTGACAAACCTTACTGCAAAAGAAGTCTGTGTCAAGTTAGGGGACAACAATAGACCCGCCGACGTTGTTTTCATAAACTTCATCTAGGTTTCAGACAAAGTACCTCATATAAGACTGTTCACGAATCTGGAAATTCTCGGGGTGAAGGCAGGCTTACTAAACGGTGTTAGGGAACTCCTGGTAGGTAGTGCACGGGCAATCAGGATCTATTCAAAACTCTCTTCCAGGACAAGAGTATCTAGTGGAATCACACAAGGCACCTCACATGGGCCACTCTTATTCATCCTGTATATTAGTGAGTTACCTGTGCTCATCGATTCCTATATGGTCCTACACGTAGATGGCTTAAAAATTTGAAGAGCTCTAAAAGCTGACGATGACACGCTCACGTTGAGAACAGACCCAACAAATTGCTAGGTTCGTCTAAAGAAGTGATGCTCACAATTGACATAGCAAAGTGAGCAACCATGTGCACTGGGCACGCAAACGTCAGCTCATACGAACTAGAGGGAATAACACCCCCATGAATTCGGGCTGAAGTAGATCTAGGTCTCACATCCAGTCAGAACCTAGAAACTACAACACCCTGTCACACCTCATCATCTCACAGTTTCGGACCATTACAGGCAATACTCAGAGCGTTTGCTATAGTCGCCAGAGATATCTTCCCTTCCTCCTATACAACTCCGGTACGTTCAAGACCGGAAAAGCATATCCAGGCAGCTAGTCCTTGTCTTAAAGAGGACTCACATAACGAGTCATAAACTCCCGGAACCGACTCGCATAAGAAGTAGCGTCAACGAACAACATCGACTCATTCTACAAAGGTTTGAAAAAACGCAGAAGAGGATTTATATAGGCTTCAAGGTGTCTATCCTCAGTCAACAAATCTGAAATCTGTATCCGAAATTTCCGTACTGTCATATACTTTTGCGCACGACTTGATAAGGATAACTGTTATTTCACAATAATGTCTGAAATGACACAGTAACTACACCATTCCCACTTCAAACAGAGAAAATCTCAGAAATTTGACGTTAACTATTCACTATAAATCGAATAATGACCATTGGAAGAATACACCAATAGGAGTGAATCCAGCCGAAAGCAACTGAGAACTGACTGTAGTTATTCTCTTCACGTGAGCATCAGATGGACGTGGTTGGCGAGTCACATGTCGATCCTCCAAGTATGCAAGACAAGGAGAACATTCTTGTGGACAATGAGCCCAATCTAGAAAAGATAAGTGAGGCGATTGTACGACAGTGTGAATTTTATTTCTCGGATGCAAATATTCTCAAAGATCTGTTTCTGCTTAAGCAAGTTAAGTCATCCACCGAAGGATGGGTGAAATTGAAAGTAGTTGCAAACTTCAAGAAGATGCAAGCGTTATCAACAGACCATGATTTTATACGGAAGGCACTTTCAACCTCAAGTAAATTAGAAGTGTCAGAAGATGGAGATAGAATACGCCGTCGTGATCCTCTCCCAGAGTGGGACAAGTCCGTTTATGGACGTTCTATCATATTATCAGACTTCCCAGATGATGCAGATGTGACCTGTGAAGGCATAACACAATTCTATACGGTAAGATTTTCATCCCACTGCTCTGTATGATATACACGTATACCAACAGGTGTGCTAGTGAGATGCGCTCATAGATTTAAGCTGTCGAACTCATGTGTCCAAGTCCTATTCCATCCACTTTGGTGTCTGCAACTGGCTAGTGATATCAACCTTCACACTAGGTTTAGTACTTTGCGAACTCCATTTTCAGGGAGAGCTAGCAATAGTATCATCAAACAATTGATAGTCAAGGACTTTTGACCGACTATGCTTTTAGCAGCACTTAAATCTTTTCTGCTGGTTTCTTAACTCGTGACTTTTGGCATTTCGCCAACAATTCACTCAATATTTTAAGTGTGACCATTATCTACATCAACTGGCTACGCTGGTTATATTATCATCACTGAAGAAATCAAAGTACGGCAAAAATCATATCCAGAAGTATTGAAAGACATATGTGTGCTTTTGTTTCAAACCAATTTATTTCCTATTCAAAGAACTTAACCCAGACAATAGGTGAATCACACTCTACTTATATAATTTCCAACCACTCCATATTAAAGTGTTACTCCACCGTACAGCATATTATTTTTTAATTTTGATTACAGCTTGATTCGACGCCGTATTTTGGGCACAAGTATGGAATTTTCAGCGTGGATATCGGTAGCCCAAATTTCGCAGGCCGACCATAGATATCAGGTGTGCGTCGGCGTGGACTCGAACCCCTGACCATGTGCATGGTCGGCGAGAGTCCTAACCACTGTGCCACCGACGCACAAAGTAACTTTTTTAAATGAAACCAGATACTTCACTGTTCGAATGTTCTGCCTCTGATGTATCGTTCATAATGTTAGTTTCCTAACATTGCAAGTATATCTCTGTACAGCACCTGTTACTAGAATTCTAATATATTTGAGTGTGTGACTCGTTAGCTAACTGTGCATTCTCAGCGTAGAAATTGACGCAGAGGTGTAGCAGTTAAAGTTACCGTTCTTAACCAAAGCACGCGACTGAAAGAGTAAAAATAAATAAAAATGTGTTGGGAAATAGAATAATTACATAGGTAATGAGTATTTAATAGGTTTGGGAGATCTTAAAGAGTAAATGCATCCGAGTCAGTAAGAACGTTTTCCAGCCATTTCACCAACAGTCATTGACCTTTCGTTTTCAGTATTTCGCTGACCCAAGCTAAGTACACACCTACCTAGGTAGTTGGCTCATACTAGCAATCAGAGACGTCATGTATAGATGTAGTGTTTTTTTCTGACCAACTACACTTATTAGTTAAAGTTGACTGGGCTCAGGAACAAGTGTATCTCTGCCAGACTATAAGCCACGTTTTGTGTGAGGGGTAATACTACTACCCAGTTGGCCAGATTGAACATCTAAGGGGTTCGTACACGGGACCAAATGGCTAAACGTCAGGTGCTTAAGCCAGTCAGCTATCTCATCTCTAGACTTCAGTGTTTGACTTTCGATCAATGGATCCTGGGTTACGATCCCACCTCAGCCACTACAATCTCCGCTAATAAATGCTGTCAATCGTTGTGAAAGTATTACTATTATTCCCTTTAGTTCCGATTGGAACATAGGGCTTCAATAAGGCATCTCCACTTCCTTCTGTTTTTTTCCGTCCTCTTCAGCTGTCCCGACGGTTGCCCATCATCTCTCATCTACTCCTCGCACGATCTCCTCCGTGACACCCTCACACCGACGACCCACTTGAGCTGTGACCTGCATTGCGTGCGGTGTAATTCGATGGCCTCCTCAACATTTGCCGATCCATCCCTATTTTCTCCTAAATATATTTGTTGAGCGATCAGCTCTTGGTTGGTTTGTTTCCGGTCAAAGTTTCTTGTTGCTAATTCTCTCTGGCCGGTTGGCCGTTTGATCTTCATTATGGAGCCAGCAGAGGGAGTTGTTGATGAAAGTCTTCAATCTGTTGGAGATCGTTTCCATGACACGCCGGCCAAGTTTCTGACCCATACAGAAGAACTGACTGACTTCCGAATCTTGTTGTTTCTGCTGGGGTGGAGTGCAGTGCAGAAAATTTCAAAAGTAATTTTAGGTTAATGAAGGCGTATCCTGCCTCTCCGACGCTGGTTGGTTGGCTTTGACATCTTCATCCGTGCCACCACCTGTCTGTGGTTGAAACAATTCTGGCTGCCTAGATAGTTGAAGGAGGCAACCTGTGTCACATCTCTCCCATTGGTGGTGTTTGGTGCTGGTTGCTGTTGTTGTCGCTGTTGGTTGGTTATCTTCATCACCCCTGTCTTCTCTACGTTCACCGAGGGTCCTGTCTTCTCCGTCTGCTTTGCCAGTTTTGTTGCTTCTCGTTTCAAGTCTGTGACACTAAACACAAGTCGTCTGCGTAATCCAAATCTTCTAGAGTCTCCTTATCGGTGGTCCAGAGTATTGTTGTCTTCTCACTACTAACGCACAGTCTGACGCATAATGCAGACCACCACAATTAGGAATAACATCGGTGATAATAGGCAGCCAGCTTTGTCATACTCCCGTCTTCACTTAAAATGCCTCACTGAGTTTTCCGTTGTGGATCGCCTGACACGTGGCATTGTTATATAGCCAGCTGTTGAACGATTAAGACTTGACCACTGCACGCCGTGGTGTTAAAGTAGTTTCCAAATTACTTCTTGGTCAACACTGCCAATGCAGAGCCTCTCGACCCATGATGAGTTCTATCCCCGCTTTGTCTGCTCCTAGCTTGTCTTGCATTCATATCGCCCATAAAGATTTTGACGTCGCCATTCGGGACGTTGTCCGTTACTATTTGTAGTTGTCTGTAAAAATCTTCTTCCTTCTCTTGTTCCGCGTTGTTTGTAGCACTGTATGTAGTACTGGATAATTGTGGCCTTCCTTTTGAGTTGAATCTTGCTGTCATAATCCTTTAGGAGGAGATTAGTGCCCCCCCTGTATTAAGGCTTTGGCTGCTACTGGTAACATCATGATAGCCACTCTGTGCTCGTGGTTGTCATCTGAGTCACCAGACCGTAGTAGATTACTGACTCACCATTTTAACACTCCACATCCATTCCAACTGCTCTTGCAGATAGCCAGCACTTCTATGCTACTTCTAAGCCTCCAAAGCGTCAGGATGGTCGGGGGTGGGTGCCTTGCGCTGCGGGTTGGCCACCCCTCCGTACACCTCTTGAAATGCTCCCATATGACCGGCCTCTCCTGAGGAAGTCCTACTCACTGCCTTCACGTGGCGGAGGTGTTTTTCACCGAAGTGAGAGTGCAAAAGCGGATGCCCGGCGCTCTTCACTGGATTGACTGTCCATTGGATGACAGTTTAGGGGAGATGGCTAAACTCTGATTCCAAACCTCCAACGACTGGCACATGAAGCTCACCGGCAGACGTATGGACAAAGGGCTTATTGGATGCCCTGGATGTCTGGCCCCATTCAAAAAGGCGTATGAACCGGACTCCGGTCACCGGCTGCCAATGGATAGTGGACTCCCTACTCCACTCCTACTGCCTTGTAGGTCACACTTGGTTGTGTAAAGGCTAGAGCTGCACTCCCAAACAAAAGGCCGAGCGATTCTGGGGGCATCACTTGTACCTAATTCCCATGAAACTTCATGAACTCTCTAGAACATCAACCAAATTCCAGTATTGGTTCAACAACGTCGCCTTCGGTGGTTTGGCCATGTTCTGCGCCGACCAGATGACGATCTGGTCAAATCAGTTCTAAATCCCTCGCCATTTCCATCTTGGCGATGTCGCAGGGGTGGACAGCTGAAAACATGGCTTGGTACAGTCAAGGCTGATATGGAGTGCCTGGGGCTACAAACCGTCTACGGACTCCGTCTGTGGAACAAGAATTGGATAACCCTGTCGCAAAACCTTGCATCAGATCGCCGCGCCTGGGCAGCGATGATTCGAGATGTTCATGAAGCCGGCTCATCCTCATCCTCATACATTGTACGGACGATCCACGTCCCCATTCTTATTCTTTCATTCATCGACAGAAGACATATCGGCTGTTGAGTGGCCTGCTGAATGCTGGCTTTCACCAGCTGGCTGTGTCATTTCACCACTCCGATTCGAGCAAAGAATAAGATTGTTGTTATTTGAAGTTTCTGTATTTTTAATATATTTCTTGTGCGTTGAAGTTTCTGTAGCAGTTTGATTGATTTTGTGGTGTTGGTTGGCTAGCCCCACCCAACTCTCCCTCTTTACTTGACTGGAAAACTAAGTGAAATTCGTCATGATATCTCCGCATATGAAAAGCCAATAACTGAGTTCTCTAATGCATTTGTACATTTTTGTTTATTTTCTCTTTTACCTGATCTCTTTTTGTAGGATAGGGATCGTCCTCCTGAACTAGTGCGTGTTTTCCTTCCAGGTCGCAAAGTATCGTCTGATTTAAAGCGAACTCAAGTTCTGCACCCACAACTTGGTGTTAAAATTAGTGCTATTGTGGAATTTGCCGATCGACCTAGCGCGTTGGAAGCTATCAACTTGGCTCGTTCACACTGGGGGCAAATATATGCCTATCTTTTAAGTATGATAATAGTACCCATAGTTGTTTTTACCTTTGTCGTATTTTTATTTCCGTTAATTAACAATTGTGGACTATAATTAGTTCGTTTGCTAGGTAATTGGCGGTTGTTAGAGAACTGAAGAATCTTAGTAACATCTGTTCACAGTTTGGTTTGCCTTCCAAAACACCATTGGCACAGAGCTAGACATAACTGCACAAAGTTTTAAGCTATGGCATATCACGAGTTGGTCAAAGTGAAACTTGATAAGAGGAGAGACAATTAAGTACTTTGGAACTCGCGGTGGAAATTGTTTAATGAATCACTTGAAGACAAAATGTAAATATTCAGGTGCTTACACTGTAACTTTTGAAGCGTAACACCTGAATTTTCCTTCCATTGCAGCACCAGCCTCATTGGGTTGATAACTCCAAACTGCAGTATTAATGCTGGGTTTCTACATCGTTAAGAGTTAGGTACACATACCACACGTATTGGCGAATGGGATACGGTTTTCGGTATATACACATAACAGTTGCTTTATATTTCGTAATCGAGGAATTACAAAAAATTAGCTTGTAATTTGTAGCGTAAATTAATCCTCAGACAAGATCTATTCACTATTCATTTTGTCGTAATTTAACTGTACCCAACTGGTTATCTGTCGTGCATTATCTTCAGTAATCTCTGGACATATACAAATATTTTCCGAATAATGTTTCTAAACTGAATGTTGCTGAACTATGGTATTGTAATGATAGACTGTCGTAGTATCAAATATTGAAATAATCTCAGTTATGTTTCCATTCGTATATACTTCGCTACAACGTCACGAATAATAGCAATGTAGTGTCATAGGTCCGCGTCGGTGGCACAGCGGTTAGGACGCTCGCCGACTATGCTCATGGTCCGGGGTTTGATCCCCGGCCGACGCACTCCTTTACCTCGCTGAGCCAAAAATAATCGTGGTAAAAAGGAAAGGTTGGGCATGCGGCTAGCAACCCCATCCTGTAAAAATAGACACTGCTTCAGAAACTTCAAGCCACTAGCTTGAAACCCTATGTTCCACTGGGAACGTGAAGGAAAAAAAGTGTCATAGGTAAATTACCTTTGTGACTCAGTAGTACTAAAACCCCTTTTCAGTTATGTCATCTTCGAAAATGTACTAGAGTAGTGACCAATCTGTTTACGCGGGGTCTAACATCAAAGTGCATTTTGACCATGTTTGTTTTTAGTGATCATAATATGGTAACTGTCGGTACATGGCACCAAATTCTTTAATTTTTATTCTTATTTATTCAAAAATAATTTCTCACAAGAAAATAATGTGAATTGAAAAACCAAATGGTTAAATCAACCTATTCACAAGATCCAGACTGTATTAATCTTGCAAATAAAAACACACCGTGTTTACTTTGTACAGCACTCAGACATATTTATAAATAGCTGTTATGTCTGTATATTAAATTTCGAAAATCCGTGGTAGTTTCTTAATCAGTAATTGTTTTTTCCTCTTTTTGCAAGCTCATAGAAACAAGAAACTTGTGGCAACTACTGAAAAGAAAGAGTGAGTTCAGTTTGTATTTTCTCCTACATAAAGTCATTTTACAAATTAAATGTAATCGCATGAAGTATCTGGTTCCTACAGTAGAACTGAAGTGTATCTCATGTTGACTTGTCAACATATACACAGTACCAGTTATCTTGATTTATGTCAATTGATCATAGAATACGAAAACAGTCCATGAAGACATTAACTACTAGTTTAAGCCGTGTAGGTTTGCCCAAGTAGAGTTCGCAGGATGCTTGCTCTATTTGAAGACTGTGTGCTTGGTTTATTTATTGGTTATCATGTTTTCGTTCTTCTGTTTTGTGTGCATGTCAGGGTGGATCGATGCACTTGTGTGATAACCTCCATGGATTCGAAGGTTAATAAAAGTGCATACAAGTGTGCCTTAACCATTAAAGTTCTAAAGTAGAGGTGTTTTCACTGTGTTTTTTGGCGCTGCGCTCCCATCGTAATTTTGCGTTAATTCGCGAGTAACCGACATCATACCATCTTATTGAAAACACCAGGGTATACAGAATGCATAATTGGATCGTCTGCAAAAAGTCACATAGACTGAGATGGTTAGGACATGTGTTACATATGCCTAGTCATCGCCTTCCTCGACGGGGAATGTTAGCTGATATAAGGTCAGGCTGGAAAAGAGTTAGCGGAGGTCGCTCCGTCCTTGTCTATGGCTCTGAAACATGGCCAATACGCGTTGAAGACATGAAAAGGTTGACTGCTTTCGGTCATAGATGTCTGCGATCTCTTTCTCACGTTAGGTGGTTTAATAAGGTAAGTAATGCTGACGTTAGGCGTAGAGTGTTGGGCAAAGAGGGAAAATCAATCGACGAGGCTATAAAGTTACATAGACTAAGATGGCTAGGTCACGTGCTGCGCATGCCTAACCACCGCCTCCCCCGACCACGGGCATTTCTAGCTGATATAGGTGCAGGTTGGAAAAGAGTAAGTGGTGGCCAAACAAAAACATGGCATCAATCCATGAAATCCTTGACAGTTAAACTGAGTCAGGTAGGGAGATGCAGACTCCCGGGTTGGGGGCCTCGGGACTCTAGGAATCAATGGCTGGAGACAATAGGTGACATGGCTCAAAATCGTTGTCAATGGCCAGCGCAGATGTATTCAGTCTCTGTAATCTTTCATATATCTTTCTACCATTACCCATTCTGTTTCACTCTTATACTTGTCAAACTCTATTGATTCTCTTCACTCATCTTCTTGTCTACCTCTGTGTACTGTTTGGAACGTGGCAACTCGAACTGGTGCACTTCGGTGCCAAGTTCTATGTTGAATCCAGACAGACAGACAGAAACAGAAACATGGCACCAGTCAATGAAATCTACAACAGTTAGTCTAAGCCACGTAGGAAGGTGTAGACTTCCTGGTTGGGGTCCCGAGACGCTAAAAACCAATGGTTGGAAACAATTGGTGTCATGGCTCAAAATCGTTCTCAATGGCTGGTGCAGATGCATCCACTTCTTGTGACTTATGATTTCCAATGAAACTGTTTTGTTCATTGTTACTACTATTCCTTTGTCTCACACCTCTGTTTACTCTCTCTATTATGCATTTCTACTTTCTTCCCTTGCTATGTGTGCTACATGGAGTGTGGCGACTTGAACTGCCGCACATTTGTGCAAGGTTCTATGTCGAAAACACAGACAGACAGACTGCAAAACGTAGTAAGCATTGGGATGCATCAGTTTGCGTAATTAATGTTTAGGTACACTCTATTGGTTGTAGTATTAAATGGAAGACAGCAAACCGGCAACTATGGAAGCGGAAAATCTCAATGCAATAATTTACGCATTTCATCTTTGGCTTTCACAAAGTTAAGATTGAGAGCATCCAAATGATAACCTACGATCGAGGTATCCAGGCTCATGCAGTGGTAATATGCCTTCTTCTCATTAGTTATAGGCGAAACACAACCTGGCTGAAGGATGTGGAAAAGGATTGTAATTCAGGATCCACTGCTTGGAATTTGAGTGTTTAAGCCAATGATGGCGGTTGTAAGTAATTAATATGCAGCAGAGGATTCTCAGCGTAGCTTTAAGAGCAACCAATTGACCAGACAGTATACTTCTTTAGACCGATTCAGTGGGCGCACGTTATGTTATTCACTTCACGAATAATGTCAGAGATTCTTTCTATATAACGCTATCAGTGGAATCTTAAGATGACAATTGGAAATGTATTTTTTATTAAGAGGTGAATGACATGCATCAAATCAAATGAATTTGAGTTTCAACAGACAGTAGAGCTTCCTGTCTGTCTGTCTGTCTGATTTTGACATAGAACTTTGCACATATGTGCGGCAGTTCAAGTCGCCGCACTCCCTCCTTGTAGCACACAAAGCAAGAGAAGTAGAAGAAATGCATAATAGAGACAGTAGACAAGGACGTGAGACAAAAGGAATAGTAATAACGAAGAACAATATAGTATCATTGGAAATCGTAAGTCACAAGGATTGGATGCATACGCACCATTGAGAATGATTTTTTGAGCCATGTCACCAATAGTTTCCAACCATTGGTTTTTACCGTCCCGAGGACCCCAACCAGGAAGTCTACACCTTCCTACGTGGCTTAGACTGTTGTAGATTTCATTGACTGGTGAAGTCATGTTTTGGTTTGACCTCCGCTAACTCTTTTCCAGCCTGACCTTATATCAGCTAACATTCCCCGTCGAGGAAGGCGATGACTAGGCATATGTAACACATGTCCTAACCATCTCAGTCGATGTAACTTCACAACCTCGTCGATTGATTTCCCGTGCTTACCTAGAACTTGACGCCTAACCTCAATATTGCTCACCTTATTATACCACCTAACACGGGATATAGAACTCAGGCACCTATGATCAATCCTTTCATGTCTCCCCCTCTCAATGGCCAGGTCTAACAGCCATAAAAGAGGACGGAGCGGACTGATGAGCAGTACACCCGCCCTTTGGTCGATAGCCGGATATCACGTCTATGCCAGAGATGGCTTAAACTGGCATGTGCGAAACTAGCCCTCTGTATCCGTGCTGAGGTTTCATCAGAGATCAACCCGTTGGGGCTGATGGTACTTCCCAAGTAAGTAAAGCGGTCAACGTGCTCTGCCACTTTACTTCCTATTTCTAATTTAGGAGTCGATGTAGTCCAGTCCTGTAACATCATCTTGCATTTGGCTGGAGCGAATCGCATGCCAAACATTCGTGGATTGCAGCTCAAGGTGTTCAGAAGACTGCATTTTGTCAGCGTCCTCGCCTAGAAGGACTATATCGTCTGCATATTCTAAGTCAACGAGATTATTCCCTGGTTGCAAGTCAATCCCTGAGTCGCTGAAGTGAGTTAGTGTTAAATCCATTAGTACATCTATGGTGAAGTAGTACAGCTTCCTGAAGATGATCATTTCGAACTAGTGCGGCCTGTTGGTTGTTATCGTTAAGAGGTGTAAAATGTGGAGCCTACATTTCTATGATTCGTTGTTTGCTGTATGACATTAGATAAAGTAGTGTTTTCAGTCGATGAGATAATTTTATCTACACATGTTTGTCACCGGGTCGTGGAAGTAAATCAATAATTTTGAATTGAACTTGATCAAGCCAATGTCGATGTCTCATTTAATCGTATTATTACACTGAGGCCATTTCCAGTCATCACAATAAAGTTTGGGCTAAATAAATCTAATCTCTGTGTGCTTGTTATTGATACACACTATGGAGTTTTCATTTTAAACACAAGTGAATCAGTTAGTGGTAAATAGTTACAAATTCAATTCATCATTGCAGCAAGTCTTACTTATTATTATTTGGTATATGGATTTGTGAACTTTCCATATATATTGATGATGAGCCACAATATTCCTGGGGATCATCATCATATACGTAATTTTTTCATGTTTGATCACCTCCTTACTTGAAATTTTGATAAACAGTTCTAGTGTATTACGCCATTTGCGTCGGTGGCATAGCGGTTAGGACGCTCCCCAACCATGCACATGGTCCGGGGTTCGACTCCCGGCCGACGCACTACTTTACCTAGCTAAGCCAGAAACAGTGGTGGTAAAGAGGAAAGGTTGGGCATGAGGCTAGCGACCCCATCCTGTACGATAAACACTGCTACAGAAACTCCAAGCCACTAGCTTGAAGCCCTATGTTCCACTGGGAACGTGAAGGAAAAATTATTATTATTATTTACACCATTTGAACACATTCTAGCTTCTGTGATAATTTTTTGTTTATACTTCCAGTTCTAAACGTGACATGACAAGTGAAAACTCAGATATGATTCGCAGACCACTTTTCCGGGACATTGGCAGTCTTGATAATCAAGTCCGTGTGATACACCTTCGTGAACCAATCTGTCCTCCAACAGACGACAGTATCGGCTTTTATCCTGGTTGGCGTGAGGCGGTTCGATCCCATCGAGATTATTTTAGAGATGGAAAGGAATGCAGCACCACTATAGCTTGAATGAACTATCAGTGCTTTTATAACCTGGAGATTCCCAAAAGAGATATTTTACTCATAGTTCTCAGTTTCGTCTGGTTTTGTATCACTGCTGTTCTTCTCCAGGATCTAAACCATGATGAATTATTAAAATATGATTTATATGCCTAGAATAGGCCCCATATCTCTCTGTTATCAGATATCTATTTCCAATAAAGAAACAAAAACAAAAAAATGATGTAAAGTCCATTTGTGTGAAATGTACAATTTGTGTTCTCCTCATTCAACAAGTGTATATGTGTATGTGTATGAAACTTGGAAGTGACAAAGGATATATATATTAGGTTAGGTGGCATAAATATGTACCAAGTATTATATACAGCCTCAAGTAGTAATGCTGAAATGGGACAAGTACTTGAAACAATTCATCGGGTTCCCCAATTTTTATTATTATTATATCCTTCAATTCCTAGAGGGACATAGGGCTTCAGCTGCGCGTCTCCATTGCCTTCAGTTTTCTGCCAACTTTTTCACCCCGCTCCAACTCGCCGCTTCCTTTTCGGGTTCCACTCGAGCAATGGCTTGTCTAGTGATGTCGCTTGATGGTTTCCTCGGCGTATGACCAATCCATCTCCATTTCTTCCTGCCTATTTGTTTCACAATCGGTTCCTGGTTGGTTCGCTCACTGCCATAGATCCCTGTTGGTGATCTTTTCTGGCCGACCATCTGATCTTCAGTATTGAGCGAAGACAACTTTTAATGAAGGTCTGTAGTTTGTTTAAGATGTTCTTTATGACGCGCCAAGTTTCTGATCCGTATATCAGCACTGACTGACTTATGTTGGAGTTGAAAATCTGGATCTTACTTTCATTTTCATGCTGAGTGATGTTGACCTCCACACAGGCTTAAGAGGAGTGAAAGCTTGTCTTGCTTTTCAGATCCTTGCATTGATATCCTCGTCAGTTCCGCCCGCCTGTAGTTGAAACGATGCTTCCCAGGTAGGTAAAGGAGGTTGTTTCTTTCAGGTTCCTCCCATTTATGCTGGTTGATTGTTGTTGCTGTTGGTGTTGGCCAGGAATCTTCATCACCTCTGTTTTATCTACGTTCACTTGAAGTCATATCTTTGATGCTTCTTCTGCCAGCTTGTCGCTTTTCACTTGCATATCTTCCAGTTTGTGGGAAATCAGACATATATCATCGGCGAAGTCCATATCCTCTAAGTTTTTTGTGTGAATCCATTTTATGCTTGTTTCCTCGTTGCCCGCTGGTGTCTGTTACATTTTCCAATCTACTGCAATCAGGAAGATCATTGGCGATAGTAGACAGTCAGCCTTGCCATACTCCCGTCCTCACTTCGAAGGCTTCCGTAAGTTTCCCGTTGTGGATTACTTGGCGTGCAACATTGTCGTACGACTGTTGGGTGAAGTGTATAACTGTAGGCGGCATCCCTTGGTTGTAGCGAAGTTGTTGCCAAATGACCTCTCGATCAAAGCTGTCGAAGGCCTTTTCAAAGTCGATGAAGTTGAGATAGAGAGGTGACTGCTATTCCAAGCTTTGTTCAAAGATGATCCGTAGTGTGTCGATTTGATCAATACATGACTTATTTCTCCTGGATCCAGCTTGTTCCGGTCGAAGTTTCTCATCCAGGTTGGCTTGTTTGATTCTCTCCAGGATGATGCGGCTCAGTATTCTGCTTGGGATGGACAGGAGCATAATTCCGCGCAAGTTTTTGCATTGACTTAAGTCTCCTTTCTTTGTCAGATTGAATAAGTATCCTTTCTTCCAATCCTCGGGTACTTTGCCGTCTTTCCACACCTTCTCCAGCAATGGCATCATTAAGTCCGCTGTTGTCTCTGGGTCCATTTTCAATGCTTCTGCTGGAATTCCATCTGGTCCTGCTGTTTTTCCAGCTTTTATTATACTTCGGTAAAAAATTCAAAGTAATATATCTATCCCGCTGACACGGCGCAAATTCGTTTCGGGGATACATACTCATAAGGACTAACTACTTCAGCCTATATCATTGGTGAGTAACAACGGTGCATAAGATCGATTTTGTTAACCAAGGCTCACATTGCCTAAGAAAATTTTCAGCTGTTAAGGGTTGTTGCTCAAGGTAATTAATCTTTTTTTGGCAACTATTCATCACTTGTTTAAACATCCTCATAGTATAATCAGAACAAGTAAAGTCTTAGCGAAGAATTGTTCTTAATAACTTCTTCAAGCTCCACAGTTATTAATCTTTGAATGCTGGAATCCAATAGAAGGTAATCAGAATTATTAAAAAACAAGACAAGTAGTTTGGTGCAGAGTCTCTTTTTTGCGGTGAAATCAATTTTTGTTAGCTGTACAAATGCATTTATATACAATTTCCTCGTAAAGGTGGTTGGTAACAAAGGGCGCCGAATCATCAATAAAAATAGTCGAGTAAAGGTGACAGAATTATGAAATGAGATAAGTAATTTTATGCGCAAGTTGTAATCAGAATGCATACCTAAGAGTTCTTTAGGACAGTTCCATTAGAAAGGATCAGAGGAACGTAAAAAAGTAAAACATGCTGAAAACAAAAAGGTCTTTAACATGTTAACCTGAGTTAGTGGATGTGAGAGTTTCTTCGTATACACACCTCTCGTTTCCGCCACCTGTGTGGCTAGAGCTTCAGCAGTGTAAAGTAGGTGAAAGCGACTCATCATAGGCAGGTTAATTTTCGTTTTGTGAATCACATTGAAGGAGCTGACACTGGCCAGTGTCTACAACAATATCTTCAGTTATTGTACTTTTTATAAAACCACTGCTATACTTTTCAGCAACCATGCGCAATATTGTGTTCATGAATAATTTTAGGCAGGATTCTCGTCAAATGACCAATATACCGGGGTCCACAAGAACAGACGAACTGATATATGCAAGTAGTGATTAGATGCTAGCAAACAGAATGTTCAGATTGATGTATTGTATTCTGTTGCTAAGGGCGTATTGAACTGTGGGAATATGTGAGAATAATATTCTGTTGGAACACATTGTCCGTATCACAGCACCACACTGGTCCCGCCCCCATTAAATCATTGAGACCGAAGTCAGCTCGATCTTCTATATGCTGGTGCCTTCCTGCTCATCTCACTATATCCATTTCTGGGGCTCGCTGACGTTCATCCGCTTCTCTTTGTTTGCGTTTTTGATGGTATATACGTGACACCATCTCGCCATGACTGTGTATGGTCCTTCCCACTTTGGAAGCAGTTTTCGAGGCCCTGTCGCGTATCCGTCGGTGTTTCGCCTATCTTTATTTTGGACGCTTCGCACTTCCCTTTAACCACTGTTCGAATTTCACAGCGTCATTCTTTTGCTTTACGTTGTTGATTGCTCCTTTCCGCTCCGCTCTCCATCTCGTCATACTCCACTGCTGGTGGCGCGGCCAGGTCTTGTTATCTATCGGTAGTCGTGGTTTCCTCGCGTATATCGACCGGAACGGTGATTTGGGTGGACGCACGATGCGCCAGCATAATCAGTGGGAGCTGTGTCTCCCAGTCACCTCACTTTGTGGACAGCCACTCTGTTAGGGTATGGTCATTTCTCTCCGTCGAGCCTTTCTTTTGTGGATGACATGTGTTGTTTTAATTTTCTTGATACCTAGCTCTTGCAACCGGACTCTTTACTTTCAAATCACAGACCGTGATCTGTCAGTATCACTTTTGACGCACTGTCGTTTGCAACGGTATGTGGAATCACTGGTTCTGCCACCGTTTTCGCCCATTGATCGGAGATCGCGACTGCGTCTAGCCATCGTGTGGCATGTTTTGTTACTACCAGGAGGTACTGATTGCTATTAGACGTCTGTGGTAAGGGTCCCATTACATCTACAGACCACTGGCCACCCACTATAGTCACTGGAATCGGCTGCGGAGATGTTCGTATATACTGGTCACCTTTCATCAGCTGACATTGCGTACATGCTGTTACGTACTACTCGATGTCTTCTCTGATACCTGACCAGTACATGCTTTGTCGTAGGAGGTCATTCGTTCTAGCAACACCTGTGTGTGCTAGTTGGTGACATTTTTATATCATTTATTGGCACAGGCATTGGGGTATTACTTCTAGGCAGCTTCCGTCGTCCTCCCGCTACGTTAACATTCCGCATGCGTTCAAGCTTAGCCGGTCTTTATGTTTGAGTAGGAGATTTAGCTCACGATTCGCTGTGGGCCGATTCACCTTTTTTACGCTAGTTATTACTTGTATAACAGTTTGCAGGGTGTCGACCGATTTTTGACACTGGACAAGTCTTGCTCTAGGGCATTTACACCATGTGCTATTTCAGGTAACTATACCTTATTTTCGGTTCTGAGTAAAATATCTGGCAATACGTTCTCTTCTCCTGGAATATGGGAGATCGTGAAGTCACACTCGTGCAGGTGCAACATCCTCCGTGACAAATTCCCACGTGGGTCTCTGGCAGTTCCCAGCCACTGCAACGGCTTATGATCAGTCTCTACGTGGAAACGTTGACCAAGTAAATAGGATCTCCGTTTGTCTAACGCCAAACGTTCCTTATCTATTGCTGAATACTTCGGTGCCGTGTGTGTCAAAACATGGCTGGTGTATTCGGCGACCCTGCCTTAATACTGCGCCTATTCCGTAGTCGCTGGCATCCACAGACACTATGAAAGTCGGCACCGATAACTTCAGCGACATTCTCTGGTGATCCATCAGCTGTTTAATGTTGTCGGAAACCTTCCGCGAGTCTTACGACTAGACAAACTTTGACCCGCCTAATAGCCCGTAGAGCGTTAAAACAAAAGTTTAAACAATCAAGGTGCACTACAAACCTGCACCTAGATTTCTGCAATTGCTCATATTTGTCTGACAGGCTATCATACTCTGAAATGAACTACTAAACAACCTTCTCACAGAAAGTTTCTGTTCTAGCCTCCCACAAACTCGCTCAACCTCTTAGCAGTAGCCCCAGCGCTATTGTCATCACTAACTTGGCAACTGTTCTGAAATCCTGCAAGAAGCCCCACATGTCTCCATTTTTTCAAAAGCTGTAGGCTGCGAGATATTCATCCGGTCGATTGCAGCCACACAGATGTTACAGCTGAACATGGTAGCAATTCGTAGCAGAATTATTCGTTTGGAGAAAATAGCGTGCAGCAATATGGCAAAATTCAGAAGTCTTACACTGAAATGTCCATTTGCCCACGTTCTCCGTATTTTCTCCCTTTTGTCTTTCTTTCATACTTTTTATACTTTTTCACGAGTGCTTTTCATTTTACTATTCAGTATTCTTGTAGAGGACAGCACACGCAATATACTGTTTACAAGATCTTGTCAGTAGTATACGCAGTAGTTCTACAGTAGCAATAAATCCAAATATCAATAACCATCTATATAATTAACTAACGGAAACAGCTGCTCAACGTAAATGCACTATGAAGAATTTCACTCCCAATGGATAGATAAGTTTTTGATGTGGTTTTGTTCTCTGAGCTGGATGGTTAGTTTGCGAAGCTTTCATCACCTTACTGGGTGACATCTTCAGCGTATACTTCAATTTGAAGGATAGATAAGTAAATGTTATTGTGTGAATTTCTCAGACAGCCCTTAACAAAACAGTTTCAGCTTAGTCTTCAGTTTAACTAGACTTTCATTGTTGAGATTTCTGATTACAAAAATAAGAATCAACTAAATCTGCTCAGTTCTGATAGTAAATTTTGAAATCTATAGGAGTATAAATGTATGTATGAATGTCTTACGTATTTTAAATGATGTACAGCCAAATGTTTTCACAAAATTATGTGCACTACTACTTCATAAGTTCAAATGTGCCGCCATTCAAAGCTGGGAATCATACACTAAGAAATAAACAGTGGAAATTACACAAAACAACAGAAATTAACCGACCAGTTCGAGCTGAAAGTTTGTCAGAATAGCCCATGGGCCCAAGTTATTCTGAATATTCAATGAGATGAAAAGCTATTAAAATGATTCGTAGACTCTTCTTCTAGGCACATTAAAAATACTGGATTAGGGAATGGTTCTAAAGAAAAACATTGAGCTTTCTGTCTGAAAACCAAAAGAAACTATTTTTGTGATAACCCTTGTAATACAGGTTGTCGGCCAGACGATTTTCGTGTGATTTTCGAGGTGGGGTAGAGAAATTGTGTAGATGGTGTGTAGTAGGTCATTTTTATCGACTGATATTTTCACTATGAACTTCATAAATTTCAAGCAATTAGTTCCCTTTATAAATTTCGACAACACAATAAGAAGACGTAGTTTATCTGAAACGTGTAATGCATTGGCGCAACACATTTCAGACATCCCAATCACACATGTCATACACAGTTTTTATAAAAGGCAAGAAGGCATGAATAATTACAATACAGGTTAGATCGTGTACAGGTCAAGGTCACAAATAATGGGTAGGGAGACACAAAAGGTGTGGGCGAGAAAGATAAGAAGAGAAAAAACAAGGCAAAGAAGGGGTTGAAAATATTATGAAGCAAATTGGTCCTTGGTTCTAACTTGGATTACCGAGGCAGGTTTAAAAAGACAACAAATAACCTTTGCACACATAAGATAGGTTTAAGTCTTTTTTGGCTAAGGCTTCAATGAATTTAATTATGTGATCCACCTTGTTTTATATATCGGATTAAAGGCATTGTTGAAATCAACTTTGTGACCCGTCTCTATAATATGCTTCGCTATAGATGATGTTGGACATCTATTTCCGGGTTCAATTGTGTCTGGCGATTTCATTTGTTGTTGCAGCCACTTTGGAATGTGTTCCGTAGCCCTAACGTGCAGAGACCGATGGGTCCTCCCTATGTACGTGTTTGTTTACATTTTCTTCCGAGATATAATTTCTTAGAAAAACCACGTATTTACGATTATACAGCTTGATAACAATTTCATTGGGGAGAGTCTCATCGCTGAATACGGTGTTCTTTATTCCTTTCAATCAACAATTAACTCATCTCAAATTCTTTTTCTGTGGTACTTAACGACTTATAATAGTAGCATATATATGGACGTCATATTGAAATGCCTGCGGGAATCCTTCACTTCATAATTTATAAAATGGTAAACAAAACCGTGTTGGTTCATCAAAAATTAGAAATGATTGGCATTGTGATACGAATACAGGAGGCTGTTTTTTTACGAGATGTTTCTATTTTTGTGATAACAGCAGGTAGCTCATCTGACACAGGAATAAATTTAACTACAAGTTTAGAAGAGCGAAATAGACTCATGTGATTTCACGAAAAGTGAGTATGAAAAGGAGTGAATTAGGCTTGCTTCAGCTCAACTAATTGTAAACTGTGCGATATCATGACATCTATTTCAGTTTTAGAAAGTTGATATTATTTTAGTATTGTGTCAGATGTTCTATGAAAGTTATGTGTCTAGACCATAAACTTCGTGAATTCCGCAAAATAACTTAATCCATGAGATTAGTTGAATCATCACAAAATTGAATGGCATCATTGTTGAATAATTTGGCAAATCGGGGCTAGTATTAGAATCCGGATTGCACATTTCACCCTTTTCAGGACTCGTCATTGGACGCGTCTACACTCATACTGAGACTGGAACCCAGTAGCCATTGTTCCAAACGCCAAAGTTTTGTCCAGCAAAACACTTTGAGTCACGGCAGCCGCTTCTTCTGCAAGGGTACCAGTTGTTATTTGTTCCCAATTCAATGTCATTTTTCTCCTTGGTTTCTTCAGCATTCGAAACAATAGGCTATGGGTTCGAGTCACAATGCTAACAACATTGCGCAACTGAAATGCTTGTACATCTAGATGATGACCCACGAATTGGCTCTAGTTTCCATCTCGAGTTTCAGTGCTAGCCAGTGTCCACCTAATTGCTTCTAGTCAATTCTCAGATGTCGCTAAATACCTTTAAATCCCTAAAAGACATTGTTGAAATCAACTTTGTGACCCGTCTCTATAATATGCTTCGCTATAGATGATGTTGCACATCTATTTCCGGGTTCAATTGTGTCTGGCGATTTCATTTGTTGTTGCAGCCACTTTGGAATGTGTTCCGTAGCCCTAACGTGCAGAGACCGATGGGTCCTCCCTATGTATGTGTCTCCACACATACATGTAACTTAATAAACACAGTGGGATATGACACTATCGTTCAGATAATGTGAGGGTTTACAGGACAGCATAGTTCTCGTTTTCTCTATGAAGATAAGTTTAGCTGCATAATAACTTGCATTAATGGTGACCTTGAGTCTTTGTCTAGTGACCAGACTTTGTTGATCACCTCTGAACGGCAAGGATATGTAAACAACTTTTTTGGGAGCTGAATGGTTTGGTAAAGCTCTATGAGACACTTCCATAGCGTCTAATAAATCTCTACAAACCCAATCAGCTCCCAAAAAAGTTGTTTACATATCCTTGCCGTTCAGAGGTGATCAACAAAGTCTGGTCACTAGACAAAGACTCAAGGTCACCATTAATGCAAGTTATTATGCAGCTAAACTTATCTTCATAGAGAAAACGAGAACTATGCTGTCCTGTAAACCCTCACATTATCTGAACGATAGTGTCATATCCCACTGTGTTTATTAAGTTACATGTATGTGTGGAGACACATACATAGGGAGGACCCATCGGTCTCTGCACGTTAGGGCTACGGAACACATTCCAAAGTGGCTGCAACAACAAATGAAATCGCCAGACACAATTGAACCCGGAAATAGATGTGCAACATCATCTATAGCGAAGCATATTATAGAGACGGGTCACAAAGTTGATTTCAACAATGTCTTTTAGGGATTTAAAGGTATTTAGCGACATCTGAGAATTGACTAGAAGCAATTAGGTGGACACTGGCTAGCACTGAAACTCGAGATGGAAACTAGAGCCAATTCGTGGGTCATCATCTAGATGTACAAGCATTTCAGTTGCGCAATGTTGTTAGCATTGTGACTCGAACCCATAGCCTATTGTTTCGAATGCTGAAGAAACCAAGGAGAAAAATGACATTGAATTGGGAACAAATAACAACTGGTACCCCTTGCAGAAGAAGCGGCTGCCGTGACTCAAAGTGTTTTGCTGGACAAAACTTTGGCGTTTGGAACAATGGCTACTGGGTTCGAGTCTCAGTATGAGTGTAGACGCGTCCAATGACGAGTCCTGAAAAGGGTGAAATGTGCAATCCGGATTCTAATACTAGCCCCGATTTGCCAAATTATTCAACAATGATGCCATTCAATTTTGTGATGATTCAACTAATCTCATGGATCAAGTTATTTTGCGGAATTCACGAAGTTTATGGTCTAGACACATAACTTTCATAGAACATCTGACACAATACTAAAATAATATCAACTTTCTAAAACTGAAATAGATGTCATGATATCGCACAGTTTACAATTAGTTGAGCTGAAGCAAGCCTAATTCACTCCTTTTCATACTCACTTTTCGTGAAATCACATGAGTCTATTTCGCTCTTCTAAACTTGTAGTTAAATTTATTCCTGTGTCAGATGAGCTACCTGCTGTTATCACAAAAATAGAAACATCTCGTAAAAAAACAGCCTCCTGTATTCGTATCACAATGCCAATCATTTCTAATTTTTGATGAACCAACACGGTTTTGTTTACCATTTTATAAATTATGAAGTGAAGGATTCCCGCAGGCATTTCAATATGACGTCCATATATATGCTACTATTATAAGTCGTTAAGTACCACAGAAAAAGAATTTGAGATGAGTTAATTGTTGATTGAAAGGAATAAAGAACACCGTATTCAGCGATGAGACTCTCCCCAATGAAATTGTTATCAAGCTGTATAATCGTAAATACGTGGTTTTTCTAAGAAATTATATCTCGGAAGAAAATGTAAACAAAGGCGTGGATAAATATGTCCAAACCAAGTTCACCTTTAACAGTTTGAAAAAAAATTAGCGATCATGTATATTTTACGAGTTGATCACGGATTGATATCAGTTAGAGAACCATTGAAAACCAGGGAGTACTGGAAAGCTGCTGTTTCATCCTAGTTTGGGAATCATCGGCAGTACGCACCCACTGCCAAGGTTCGAACCCAGGACCTTCCGGTTACAAGGCAAGCTCGTATACCATTCAGCCACTGGGACCCGAATCAATGGCTCGTGAATTCTAACTTCTACCAATTCGTGATTTAGCGCGACCCCAGCCATTGTCGTTGGTGGGACATCCATCCACACACGTGACATCTAATTGGACCTCACTGGTCACGACTTCTCACTAGAACTCAGGAAACTCCAACCTGTAGCAAGTCACTAGAGAGCATCAGTGTGTGGATGGATGTCCCACCAACGACAATGGTTGGGGTCGCGCTAAATCACGAATTGGTAGAAGTTAGAATTCACGAGCCATTGAATCGGGTCCCAGTGGCTGAATGGTATACGAGCTTGCCTTGTAACCGGAAGGTCCTGGGTTCGAACCTTGGCAGTGGGTGCGTACTGCCGATGATTCCCAAACTAGGATGAAACAGCAGCTTTCCAGTACTCCCTGGTTTTCAATGGTTCTCTAACTGATATCAATGCGTGATCAACTCGTAAAACATAACTAATCCTTACAAACCAAAACTATAGAAAGATCATGTGTATGATATTTATTATGATAAAGGTTTTCTTGTATTTCCCAATGAATGAAAAACAAAACCATATTGCTGTTTTTACTGACGTTTCCCTACTTAATGCTGCTAATAGCTTTATCAGAGTATTATTAAACCAGAATTTACAAACTCTTAACATATATATATATATATATATATATATATATATATATATATATATATATATATAACAAAGAGTTAAGAATTGAGAAAATAGACAAGTTAGGTCAAGTTAAAAGGTCACATTGAAAGTCAAAATAACAATGAAGATCACTAAACCAAATATCAAAGGTAATAATACATCTGCTATGGTATCAAAACAAAGTTTACTAATTTGATCATCGTTCCTCACTATGGGGTCATTTTTCGTTGTCATATTGGCCATTTGGTAAAGATAACAAAACCAAGTCTGTGTAGATTGTTGGATTTGATAAGTGTGTAAAATTATGAAAGCAACGTGTGTTTACATAATGAAATTGTTAATCCCATTCGTGTTGATTTTGTCATTTCATGGGGGCACGGAGGTTTTGTAACCAGGTCAGATTCTGTTTTAGTCCATCATTCCTATCCAGTTCAGACAATTTGGATTCCACTTGATATGAATTGCTTCTGATGATGTGAGACGTTCTTTGAGATTTCTGGAATTTTTCTGGATTATTTCAATATTGTCAAAATCAATTTTGTGACCTGATTCTATAGTGTGTAGACCACCATTGGCTGATGATTTTTCAAGCTTTTCTAGTTCACTGTCGTACTGAACGTAGAAAGAGTTTGAAAATTATATTTGTCGTCAACAGGAAGTTTACCTATTTATTATTCACGAGCAGTGGTAATTTTGAAATGTACCACAAAAATTTGCTAGGTAAGATGATTAGAAAACGACTTACATGAGAGCGATAGCCACATAATTCCATTTACTGTTGAATATCTCATGTGGATCGTTTTTCTGCGAAAGTGAAATGCATTTTTGAGAAATTGAATCTTATACCATGAGTAAGAAGGGTATGTGTTTCGACAGAAAACCAACCGTATCTTTGATGCAGTGTTCCATGTGAAATAGCGCCTGTCTTCCTTCAGTACGTTCCATCTTCACTGTTGTGCTCTTTAAAAATGGTGAAAAAAGTGATATTGTATTTATCAAGTGTATAGTGACGCAATAAAAAGAATAAATCTTAATAGTTCGTGGTCTGAGACACGTGCGTGTTTTGTCTCGTTCACAAATTTCCAGCAAAGCAACTTCAATAATAATGATGACGATGATAATGTTTCAATTAGGATGACTTTGAAATCTTTCTCACTCATATTTCCTACATCTGGCTCACTTTATGTATTTGTGAAAGTGAATCAGGAATAACTTCATGTTGCATCAGACGTATTAATAACTCGCACGATCACTCAAATCTTTGAAGCTATCTTTCCTCGGAATACGAAGAGTGCCTCATGTGTAAGAGTAGTCTAAGTCAAACACACTGAGTAAAACTCACGGAGAATAGGATCATCGGTGCCTAACGCAAGAGAGGATAAAGCTGATATCCAGTGTTCTCTAGGTTTCGATGAATCTATAGGCTGTAATGATTAGTGACTTAACTATTCTGAAGAAGTGATCGCACTAAGAACGTTTCTGTATCTTTTAGCAGGCGTGGTTCGAAGCAAATAATTCATAAAACATGAAAGGCGTATCTAGTGAGTTTCCATAGTTGATTGGACTATGCTATTCAGTAGCAAATGAACTGTGGAATCGAAAAAAAGACAGACTGTCACTACTGTGAACTACTTTCATCATTTGTACATTGTATACGCGAATTTGTGACATTTTCCTAAACATTAAACCAATGACATGCAATAAAAATCAAATTCACATCGTGAAAAGGACATCGTGTCATTCAGTGGAACAGTTTTATCTACTGAATAAACAATGATCAAGTTTCAGAGTTGTGCAGTCACAGTTGACATGACAGTGAACATGAAATTGTGTTCGAAATTTTTTCCAGTATATAGTGATACTATCTGCTTGCGTAATGTATCCAACAAAACAAATATTCTGGAATTACACGGTATCGCATGACCGAATCAGTGTGACTCTATTAACATCCTAGATGACTCACATTATTCTGTAACAGTTTCAAAGTGGTCTGGAATGGGTAGTCAGATCCCGGTTATAAAATCTTTGGATAGACGATGATAGGCAAACTTGTTAGAACATGTAACACCACCTGCATGAAGATTTGCATTCACTGTTATACTTCCTTACCAGATAGCTCAGGAATACTGTTACTTCGAATTGAAATATCTATCCGATTTGTTACAATTTCAAAGTGATAAATTTGTGCAATAGATCTCAAAAATGAGGGAAGAGTGATTTGTGAACTTACCATTTCACTTTGAGCTACCATACACCTGACCGTCTGTATATATTCCAAGCAGAATATGGTTTATATATTTTCCGGTGAATGAATCGATCTCAGTGATCTTTGAGCTCTCTCACCCCTCAAATACTAAATGCAATTTGAAGCATCAAATTCTGTTTACGAGTTACGCATATCCAGTATGTGGTTTGGAACTTTGTCCTTGAATTATTCAAATAACTGATACTTTTTTGAATGAATTTAAGTTCGTGTTTCTTATATATTGGTTCAATGTGCAGATTATTCGATTGGTAAACGTTAACAGGCAATTAAATCTGAGTGATATCAGAACAATAATACTACTGGATGAACGAAGAATCTATTTTTATCTGCAGTCAAATTACTACATTATATTGAAAATCGAAAGTTAAATAGTGAGGATAACTGGTCAAAAATAGTCCATGTTTTGCGCATACACTTTTGTTTGTGCGTTACACAAAGATCCAGTATTTAGTCTGTATTCCAATTAAGTAACTGGTTTTAGTATAATGCATAGTGCTGGAAGATGACGATAGAACGTCTATAAATGAGAATGATGAATGAAATGACGTTTCACTATGAACAGTCAAACTCTTTCATCTTCTTGCATTCTCGCTTCTGGCTACTAAATATAAAATCTATGTCCTATCACTGAAATTTGATGATGATTTCATTCTATCCTTAGTTCTACGGTTTATGGTTTAATAAAGATGAAGACCACGGTGATTTTCTCTAAGGTGTTTTGATAGATGTAAAATATCTTGCTTATCTAGTAAACGTGATTAGGACGTTTAACCTGTTTCACACCATAAATTTTTCTGTTACTTCAGTCAACTAAGCAGTATCTGAAGTAACACAGATATATTCTTTATATTGACATGAGTGGGTTGATTCAATACAACGCGCAGTGATATAAAATCGCCAACTGAATGATATTCCCAATTGAGTTTATCGCTTATACTCAGTCATGTCAATTATCTTTCTCAGTCGTTTCATATAGCCACACCTCCTCTTGATATTCAATAAAACTGTAAAAATGCGGGAGCAATATTTGATTGTTTTGACCGAAGTTGTCTCCTATCGACTCAATGACGACAGATTCAGTGAATAGGCTGTCTTTCAATCGAAACATATTAATTTTCAATACTAACTACATGGTATTCGTCTTCTCTAAGCCAAACAGTTTAATTTAGGGGCTGTCATTATTTAAGATGACAGCTTACAATACAGTTTCCGGTACAGTCTTAACTAAGGTGTATTGGTCAATCTACGCTAACTATAATTGTTTCATAACTGTTGAACTTGAGAAGAATGTATTGGAAATATTCGTTCTATGTAAATACTCTTTTCCTGAATATATTTCAGAGGTATTAAATCTAATAACATGCCGAATTATTAGTAAATGAAACAACTCCACTTTTGCATTCCATCCTCTCATTAAGATTAAATATTATTTATTACCATTTCAGTGAATTGAATTCACCGGAATTGTTTGACTTCCGCAGAAACTCTGCTTTCATATGGCGCTTTTATGATGATGATGTTTTTCCATGGAATGCAGGACTGTATCCAGTGGAAGAAAGTGATGCTACTAATTGTTGACATATCTTCCCCTGGGTGAAGATTTATTGCTTATCATTATGGATTTTCGGTATTGAATTTTGAGAAGTAAGACGGTGTGAAATCATGTTTGTAGATTAGTGATAATGAAACTGCAGCGAATGATATGATCAGGTTTCTCGACTCACAACCCTAGGGATGAAGGGTTGATGTCTGGTTGACTTGTATGGGCAAACGGTCGCGGTAAGTAAGAGAGATGTCTGTGGCACATTTGTTTCAAATTATTCTCTAAGTTGCGTCAATTATTAATGAGATGTGCATTGGAATGCCTAAACACGAATGCAACAACCGTGTTACATGACTATGCTGAAAGCGAGCAACATCAGTGGTGACATCGGCCATAACTGTCTTGTGTAAATGTGATTTCTATGATGAAGTTTTTCGGTATTCGGTAGTAGCGAATAGGTTTGATGAAAATGAAACGAATTTCGGGTTTGAATAAAAATCCAACCAGGTGGATTGTTTAAAACAGCAGTCAGAATTCATAACCATTGAAGCTTTTTTCCTTCGAGGATATGCACACTGTCACTTGCTCACACATGTGTGTGTACACCGGAAAGGTTCCACAGAGGTGTAAAATGTTCAGTTGTGCTTCTCCAGAAGCTTAGAATCAGTGATGGGAGGGTAAATAATGAAGGAGCACTTATGTTTTGTAATCCTTTCATAATTCTACAAGCAGTTATTCTTTCATGTTCACACTATAGCTCATTTTAATTATTCTGAGTGTGTTGTTGTCTTTTTCACCAGCTTTATGTTCACCTGGGAGTATGGTAGATCGAATCTGTTCAAAGTTTCGTACTGAAACTGAGTCAATCGGTCACTCGTATTTCGAGACATTTTCATTAGAATGGAAGCAATGCACTACTTAGCACTTAAGTGCTCTGCAGGCGACTTATTCAAACTTTCATTAATATAACATAGTAAAATAACATGCACAAGAAACCTGATTATTGAAAGAATACGACTGTTATCTTATTCCCACTTATACTTACGGAGACAATCCATTCGCATCACTTCTAACCTATTCAGCCTACAAATATGTAGTTGAGTGTATGATAAGGGTTTCATTAGAACACTTTACTGTTTCCTCAATCCTGTCTAGTTTGTTTTGGAAAACAGGCGGAATCATCCGTGTCAACTGACTCTGGAAATAGATAAACAGAGTCATCTTGCACAAAGCGCATCTTTTGGACGGGAAATAAATTTGATTTTAACACCACAAATAAATCCAGGTATAAGTGAGACGGGTATGATTTGTACACATAAATTCACTAATGAAATAACTATATTATCCTGAAACCTGTCTACGAGTACAAACGGTATTTTTTATGATATTAAACTTGAATGAATAACGAAACTTTAGATCCAGAAGTTTCGGATGTTCACGAAATATTTCCCCTTTGTTTCTCGAAATTATAGAAGATGAATGTGTCAGCTTAGCTTTTGTTACCTAATAAGGGTTTCACTAAAAAGTACTTAACCACTATTATCTGTTCTAGAAACATTTTTGCAAGCATCAGCTCCACAGTGGCCTGGTAAATTTGTTGCGAAACCATGTTATTCTAATATATAGATATATGTGTATCATTAAACGATTTGAATAGCTTAGAAGATGGTGGTTATTCAGGCGAACAATTTTTAGGCGTGATTAAAAATGAAGGAGAACATCGTCTTGGCGTTGCAAGAGGTGAACTTGTACTTCTGTAACCAAAGAAAACTTGGACAAAATTCTCGAAGCAGTAAACATTCCTTTGTACTCAGGCAGGTTGCAACTCAAACATCAGATATGAAAATTACTAGATTACGGAGATCAGTCTTTAGTTTGAACATCTCTATAATTTATTTGAAACAGAAAATATTAAACCGAGCAAATGTCTCTTCAAACTCTACAGTTAAAATTGGGATGGTGTTAGCGTGTGGTGGCCATCAAAGTCAAATTATGTGCTCATCACTATTTATATTTTGGTGCATGTCTAAGGTGGAACACTAATCTGTAAAATCTGGTTACGATTTAATTGCATATAGAATGTGTGGTCGAAAAAAACCTGAGGTAAAATAAAATAATCCAGTGATGTATGTGTGCATTAATAATAAAGAATAGGTTTAAGGTGGTGAGTTGTGCTCAGTGATGGAAGACAGTATGTGTGTAAAAGAGAAATAAGCCAATAAATGTGATACGCTTGATGTAATTCCAAGAGCAGAATAATGAATAAAATAATGATGGTGGTTTGATGTGAATTAATAAGTGTTACAAGTAACAATTTAACTAGTAACAAAGAATTTATTGAAACAGAATTGCAAATGATTATGTGAATATAAGAAGTTTGAAAAGTACTCAGTAAATTTAAGTTAATGGAATTGATAAGAAAGTTTATGAAATCGTTAAACACCTAAAATAAAATTGGGCCAGCGAAACAAGGAGGGAGAATAAAACCAGCAGGATAGAAATTCAAAGTGTTAGTTATCCGAGTTTGTGGGGATTTGTTGACGTTATTGGAGGCCAAGGTTGACAAGGCTGAGGGACATTATTTTCTATGTACACATATGAAGTCTTCCAGTATTAACTGCTACAATTTTAGTACCGATAAGAGACGTAGTCGAGTTACTAGAGGTGCGTTTTATCACCATGAAGGTTTTCGTTGATTTCTCTTTACACCGAATTCGTCGGATTTGAAACAGTTGTTGACATCGTTGACTAAAACGTAATTTGGGAACCCGAAATATTTATCAACCTTATGCCGCAGATATATGAAAACTCCACATATCAGGTGATCGACAATGGAAAAAAGCAGCACAGCCTTTGGAGGGAATATAGAATTGAGGCAAGGCTGCCTTCTACTATCGCCGATGGAATTCCTAATTATGGTGAACTAGGTTGTTCCTTATATCGTGCATGGGAGGAAGATGACAAGAATAAACTTGAATACCTCTAAGAAGACTCTGGAAGATCCAGGTTTCGTTAATGATTCATCTCTAATGTCCCACTAACTTGAGGATTTACATGTGGAAATCAACAAGGTAGTAGAAAAAACAGCGAAGACAGGAATTCAAGTGAACATACGGGAGGTATAGGTGATGTAAATAACCAACCAGCAATGGAAAGCACCAATCATTATCAACTGGAGAAACTCAAGGAAATATTGTCTCAGCTACAGACGGAACGGATTAAGACGTCGAAGCCAGAATTAAAAAAAACAAGAGAGACTTTCCTCACTCTGAAGTCAATTTGCACATCTTCACTCAGCGCAAAGAACAAAATTCTAACTTTTAACACAAATGTTAGGTCACTCACTTCTTCCATTTGTTCGAGAAACTTGGCACGTAACGGAGCACATCTCCAACAGGTTGCAGACCACTACTAACATCTACCTTGGCTAGTTCCACACTGA